TTTTAATTATAGGAAATGCGTTTTTCTAAAGTACATAAACTCTTGGGATTGACTGTATAGCCAATACATTCTTAAGTGCTACCAAACCCCCAACGTCACTCAACTCACAGTATCAACCCAGCATTCTGAACTCTAATTCCAATTTCGTGGCTCGTTGAGCCTATTCGCCGCCGGAAATCTCCCAACCTGTTTTCATCCCTCTCGCCCATTTTCCTTTTATAACCACCCACCGCCCTCCGTCAGCCCGAAACTTGGCGCAGCCATTTGCGCGTTTCCCAAGTTTTTCCATTTTCGAAAGATCTCAAGGGCCGCGAGAACTCACTTCGGAGACTCGCTCTTCCCGTATCCGGTCGCGACGCTGAGGTGCATATCGATCCCTCTTCCCCTTCCGACGCGCTCGCTCCCTTTTTCTCGTCGCGGGCTCTTTCCCTGCCCCGCGTCCCTGTCGACGACGACGGCGACGACGACAGGAACTCCTAATTGTACGAAGAACACCGGGGCAGCCGTGTAGCTGGGTCATGCGCTACGAATGCGAGCGCGCACACGCGCGCTGATACCAGCAACGGAGAATTTCTGCGAGAGATGTTTAAGGCAAATGAGAGAGAGAAAGAGAGAGAGAGAGAAAGAGAGAGAGAGAGAGACAGGGTGAAGGGAATTCGCCTGTGAATTATTTTCCAAGCGCGTGCTTGCCGATGATTAAACGCGGTCGTGAGACTCGAAAGCGCAGCTTTTGGACTGTTAAAGTTTCGCGTCGACCGATGGGTGCTCGTTTCTCTTTTTTCTGAAACGCAGCGCCTACTCTCGCAGTCGGCCTCTTTCTCCATGAGCTCGTTTTCGCCCAGCGAAATTGAAAAGGTCTCGCGCGCAGGTACACCAGCCGCTTTCAAATCTGTTTTCTCAAACGGTTTCCTTTGTTTTTCCTTTTTCTTTAAATGTTTTTGATGCGTTAGATGCTTCTGCTGTCGGTACACTAACAATAAGTGTCGCGTGGGGTAGGTTGTCCCGCAAGCTCGTTAGGTAAATACTGTCTGCTACCTGGTACTTTCTTCTATTTGCTCAAAGACTGATATCGATTTTTGTACATATTACCGTAGATAATTCAATTTATCTTTGTCTTATCTAAGACTGCGAAGATTAGAATTCAGTCATAAATTTAATATTTTTATTTATTTATAAAAAGTCGATTAGTATAGATATTAGTTATAGCTAAAATAGATTAATCGATAAAAAATCGTGAGTACTTAAATTATTAACATATATGGACAACCGAATTCACACATTTCATGGTTACTCTTCACTGAAGAGATTTTGTATAACGAGCGACGGCTCCTCGATGCAATTACATTTTACGCATTGTGTGAAAGTTTTCACTAAATCGCGGAATTGCAGAGTGGAATTAATCGCGAGCCAGACGGCTGGCTGGTGAACAGCAAGAGAGGTTTTCATTTGTATAAAGTACTAAAAGTATTACCAATGGGCCATAGTATTGATCGACAGTAATTTTATTGAAGCATTTTTGATTAAACAATTCTATGAGATGTTCATGCAATACAAAATGTGGTTTATCATTCATTAAAATCTTAAATAAACTTCAATCCGTTTGAAAAGTCTTGACTTGACTCTATATGCAGATTCGTCTATCGATCTCAATTGAATTAAATAAGCACGAATCAATATAGAATGCAATAGATATGCTCAGAATACTCTCTTTCAATTATGTGTACATCAGGGTTGAAGTAAATCGTGAAGAGCAGATCAATGAAGGAAGACTTTTGTGCGAAATATTTCAGTTAACGAGATTCCGATAGCACAATTCTCAGTACGTGCTCTATTGGTCTGGTAGTGAATCGACTCCTCGGATAATCGAATCGTTCCGGTGTATAATTTATCCAGTTCCAAAGGATACAGACGCGCTCTATAAAATACCACAAAGGTTTATGCCTTCCTGCCATTGACTGGCGACCTCGTCTGATCGCGTGTCGACGTATCACGATCCAGATACGCGGTGGTATCGCGACACAGAAATACCACAATTCCATTTTATGTAACGCACATGGTATTGCTATTGTGTAATAATTGTTT